GGAAAAGTGGGGGTCGTCTTGTACATGGGGGCGTCTTATTGTCGGAAAAATATGGTAAATGCTCTTGGCAAGGAATGCCATTAGACCTTTCCAACAGTACCACTGTTGGAAGACCAGCCAAATGTGATTGTGTGAAAGCCCTCCTATGTGACAGGACAAGTAGATTATACAAATATTTAGGGATGGTAAAAGGAAGGTGCAATAGTTCATTGAAATGAAGATGTGAAATATTAGTTCTGTCTCTTGTATGCTGAAGTCAAAGATTCTCTGCTTGAGCTCTCTCCAGGCTTCGTCCAGCCCAGTATAGGTAAAATTGGGGGGTGAGCTCATAGTAAAGCAGGTGAAATGTAGAGTGCTCTGACATTTGTTTTACTATGGTGGGATGGGATGTGAAAAATACATTATTTCATTCATAGATAGATAGATAGATAGATAGATAGATAGATAGATAGATAGATAGATAGATAGATAATCTCCATCCTACTATTACAAAGAGAGCCAGTTTAGGTGAAGGTGCTGGCCTAGAAACCAGGAGACGGTGAATTCCAGGCTCCCTTAGGCACGAAAGCCAGCTGGGTGACTTTGGGCCAGGCACTCTCTCTCAGCAGAACCCATCTCACGGGAATGTTGTGGGGAAAATAGGAGGCAGGAGCATTAGGTATGCTTGCCTCCCTGAGTTATATATTTTTATTTATTTATCAAATTTGTCACTGCCCATCTCATTGAAATGACTGCCTCAAAAAAGGCAGGATAAAAATATAATCATCATAACATTATTCATAGGAGTACTCATTTAAAGAGGGATATAGCTACTTTGATCCCTTGAGATAAGTAGCTCAAGGTTTTTTTTAACCACAGTTGCAGTTTTGATACAGAATTAAATTTTAGTAAAATGGAATGAGAGCTGAACAGTGCAGTTAAAGGAATCATACAATACATTTTTCCTAAATGACAACAAAATTGCACAACTCTATTCTTCCCATTCTAAAATGTCCCTACATGCTGAACAGAAGACTAAGTCAGATTATTCCCTGAGAAATTAGCTATCTTTAGAATAGAAAAGGATGTCAAGTCTTTATTGTGGTCAAAGATCAGTACAAAATAAAACTCATTAGTAAAAAATGGATTGTATATAAAAATAACAGATCATAAAATGAACTGGGCTTATCAATCTGTTGGCTGTCAATTCTGCATATGACATAGCAGAATTTAGCTGTATTTAGGGTAACAGAGTCGTGACGTGGATATATGAGAGTAAAAATAGTAAGTAAAATTAATCGGAATGACCAGGGAATTTGTTTAGATGTGAGATTATTAACTGACCATGTGACAGTATAAAACAGGCAGTATAACAACATGTGTTTAACAGTTCCTATGGTCTTTTTACTTTACTGCATGGGTAAAACCTTAGCCCAAATAGGATATCTTTGTATCTTCCTTCTAGGACTGCAGTAGAAAGGGCATCAAATCGAATCAAAGAGAATGCCCTCCTATATTTAGGGACTGTAATCTGACTTAGGTATCTAGCAAATCTAAGGATGAACGAACTGGTCAGAAGTATATCCTTGGGAAGAGATACCAGACCTAATTGGTTATCAGTCCTTAATCTGCTGCCCCAACGTTACTACTGTATCTGAATATGCAAAGTTGAAATAATGAAATCTGAGGAGCTCCATTTTTTAGCCATTGCTTTGGGCCAGGATGGCACAAAATTATCAGTGAGAATCCAAGATGTCAGACCTATGGGGGCAAAGTATATTTTGGCCCAGTGTGTGAAGATGCATAATCAGGCAATGGTCTCACTGCAACTGATGCCGACCTCATGGCAAAAAAGTGCATTTGAGACACAGCAGGGGACAGAAAGGGATGTATATGTATGCACATGTATGAGCATATACATAAGTACGTCTGTGCTCAACTGAACATGTATCTATATATGCAAGTTATTTACACAATTCTGTTTTTGGAAGCGACAGATTTAATTACCCCGAATAAGTATGAAGTCTTAACTTTCCCGTTAATAACTCAGAAATCAATAGTGCACACTTCCTTACCACATGGTATTACACATGTTACTTTAATATGCAAAGAACACATCATCGTATCTTGCAGATATCATTTCAATCTCTAATCTCATTCACTTCTTACAAATTTTCCAGGATATTTTAATTGGGAGTATATATGTAACACTATTTAAAATCTATGATTTTATCCTTAGCAGATAAGAGGAGTGTAGCTTACTTTTTTTTTCTACAGGCATAACAGAAACTTAAAATAATTTAATTTAAAAAAAATAACAAGTAGACAAATTATAGTATGACATTATTAATACACCTACATTTGTAACTAAAGCCTCTTCCATCTTTGCACTGCTTGTTGCCACTGTACTGGAATGAGAAGACGGTGTTGTATAATCCGTTACAGACTCCTGTAAAGAAAAATTAAAGCAGCTTACCTAAATAATATAATTTCCCTAAAAAGTATGATTTGAAAACAGAAAAAAATGGTCATTTTCAGCTTCACAAACTGAACTTCTCTATTAAAATAGTTTAACAATTAAGTTACATATTCAGTATTTTTTTTAAAAAGTAAACCCCTGTTTGGTTACCATTTACAGGGTAATTATCATATAATGAGATGGCCTGCCAGTGCAAAATAGATTTAGGTGAAAGAAATATGAAACATAGTTTTAAGTTTCATGTTGACTTCACTGAGTAGGAAACACAACATTCTCATTCGTTTAAAAAATAGAAAACACTAGTCACATGTTTGATATTCACATATTCAACTGTCAAGTCAGAAAAGCTGTGGATTGAAAGACTCTTTCCACATATACATTATGTAACAAAGGAAGAAATAATTCATAAATATATCAATCCCAAAATGTGACAGTCTAGGTGATTTGTCTCATATTGGATTCTACATGTTTCTGTCATGACTATAATGACCAATCTACACATGCTATTAACTAGTAATAATTAAAAATGCTCAAGAGCCTTGTGAAAGATTTGACTTCATAATTAACTGAAAGGATAAGTATCTATAGTGGTAGGCCCCAGCAATTCTGCAGTCTGCACTGAAGCACAATCCTTGCATCAGATTCTCCATTATCACATTCTTCTCCGCAGATGTTGTTACTACAGAAACAATAGTAGAACAGTAGAAAATAATGGTAATAGATCTTACTATTTTTTGAAATTGGAAGAAGTGAACTAACACCAAGATTGTCCTCACAGCAAATAATCTTACACCTCTTTTATGCTCTCACTGCACAAATCCTCATAAAACAATGTATCTGATAAAATTTGGGCAGAAAGAAATAGGCACTGTTTTCTTACTTTCTGGGTTGTTCCAAATTCTGCAGCAGGCACTGATATCATTGTTCCTATTTCTGTACTAAGTTCATTAGCTGCCTTGGTTTCTTTAGAAGTAATAGGATCTGGGCTTCTGACTGTAGTAGGACTGGACTTTTCTTGCACCTCAGAATCACCCTGTTGAGCCTCCTTTACTTTTTTGTTCTTTAGTGATCGTTCTTTCCCAATTGGGCCAGGCTTGTATTCTTTGTTTTCTACTGGATTCATATCTGGAAGCTAAAAAGAATTAACAGTATTCAATGTAAATATATGTGTATGCTGAATTCCACAAGAAGGAATGGAAGTAATAAATTGCTGGGTTATTGCTTGTATAGCTAATTTGGACTGGGTTATTGCTTGTACTGGGTTATTGCTAATTTGGACTGGGTTATTGCTGGGTTATTGCTTGTACGCTGATTTGGACTGAGACTACTACACTACTACTACTACCAATGAAAATGAAGCAACTACATTCAAATGCAATTTAGGTCTAAGTCCTAGGCTGACATGAGTAGCAATTAATATATGGTAGACAATTATTACTTGCTCTGTGTGTGTGTGTGTGTGTGTACATACAGTGGTACCTCTACTTACGAACGCCCCTACTTACGAAATTTTCGAGAT